AAGAGTCACGAATCTAATGAACAATATAAACACAATGCTTACTTGAATTAGAAGTTGGTTACTAGAGAAATCTTGAAGGCAAGCTGAAGTAGAACTTGAATCCACCAAGGTGCAAGCCATAGAGAAGGCACCGACAGGCCGGTACCTCCTCCAAACTCTTCCCTCAACTCTCCATCTCACTATTTCTATTTATAAGACTAGATCCTATGGAGGAGTAGTCTTCTCTTGATAGTTGGCTCTAATCCTAAAGGTATGACTTAGGGTTTTAGGGATCTACTAAGGGAGGAGGGAAGGGGCTGGTATATATATAGGCCGGAGCGTCAATCCTGAGCCATCGGATCAAACCAACTTGAATAAACGGCGAAGATTGGATCTCAATGGCGGTGGGGAACTGACTTTCGAAGCGAAGGCTGACTGGTGGGACCCACAGGCCGGCCGGCCTACAGGTGGGGCTAGCCAGCCCCACATGGTAGCCCCTTGGGGTCTGCTTCGGTGGAGAGCCTCCTAGAGTCTTCTAGAATCTTCCCACTCTATTTACACGGTGGAATTCCGTAATTTCCTTTGACGAATATGTCCCCCTTGACGGTTTTCGGGATAAACCCTGCTGAAAATATAGATTCACCAAAACTCATAGAATTTATTAGTTTAAACCCCTATACCTATGTTTGGTGATAGAATTAAGTATAAATGCATGTTATGTTGACGGTTTATAATTGGTGTTAGTGACCATCAACAGAGGCACGCGAGAGCGAGAGAAAGCGGAGGCAAGAAGGCACGTGAGAGAGAAGTGGCTGGGCACACATGCGGACGAGAGAGAGGAACGGGTGGCTGATATTTGCCAAGGCATGCATGCGGACGGTACGTATAGGCGCGGGCGGGTCGAAGTCCGTCCGGACAGACGAACGTCGTCGGCCTATCTTTATCGGAAGGGCTAGCGTCCGGACGTCCAGACGGGGGGCTAGCATCCGGACATCCTCGCCTGCTTCACATAGGCATGCTGCTGCGCCCGCCCACACGCCTGCGCCTGCTTTGCATGGGGCCCACATGTGCTCCGTGACCCATGCCCGTACCGTGTCTGGTGCTGCTTCCTGTCCCATGCCCACTCCCTATCCCACGTCGCTCTGTTTTGATATGTGCCCACACGGTTTCCCGCGCCTGTCGCTTGCGCCCCTCCACACCCATGCGCATGCATGCGGGCTGATCTACTTTTGTAAAATCTAGAGGAAATATTTGCAACATACGTCCAAAACAGTTGAAACACTTGCAACATACATCTGAAACATGAGGAAAACATGTGTGTAGCCATTGCAAGACATATGCAACATCTAAATGAAACACTTACAACATATGTGTAAACATACGCAACATCAAGATGAAACACTTACAACATAAGTGGGGAAACATATGCAACGCCTAGATAAAACATGTGCAAAATACTTTTGAAAATAGTCGAAACATTTAGAACAGACGCTCATACGTCTATAGCTATTGCAACATATGCAACATCCCGATTTACTTTTATAACATCCACATGAAACACTTGCAACATGCATACGAAACACCTAAAACACTTGAAATATATGTTTGCAACATGTGCTTTTCAGCACAACATCTTCTTGCTACTTGGGCGAATCGAGGCTCATCGACACGGAGCTCGACATCGGCACGAAGCTTGATGCCACGAAGATGGCCGGTGCGCAGCTCATCGGCGGCGCAGAGCTCGCCGACAACACGTGTCTCACCGATCGGCAGCGTGTGCAGAGCTCATCGATGACGTGTAGATGTCGGCGGCGCGGAGCACGGTGGCTGCGCGCAGAGCTCAGCAGGGCGGTTGAGGCTAGCGAGGAGGCTTGCGAGCTGCGGTGGGGGTGAGGAAGCCGATGGAGTGGTCGATTTGGATGGAGGTTACATGGAGGAGGGTGCTCGGAGGCATAGGAGCTAGTGGCGGCCGTGGAAGCTGGGTGGACGGCCATGGTGCTTGGTGCTTATGCTTTGAAGCAAAGTGAGAGGGAGAGGAGCGAGGGCGAGCAAATGGGAGAGGGAGGGAGGGCTCCGGCTCGGTCTCCACAATTCGCCGAACCCAAGGCGACGTGAGAATGGAGCATGGCGGCCATGCATCAGACCTTCTATTCTTCCTCTCACTGTTGCTTTGAATGGAGAGACGAAGGCGAGAGAGACGAGATGGAACCAAAAAGATATTTGTGTGATGGGTAAATACGTGGACACCATGAGGCCACATAGCGTTGGTGCCTGGATGGACGTCCCTAGTGGAGCATTATTGTTCCAATAAGTATTGAAAAGGAAAAAACAAGGGTCTGTCTATAGCACGGCCAGGTATTCCAAGGCCGGCTGACACCCGGGTGTTGAGCGCCACATGCTCATTCGATTGGGACAAAAAAAGAGAATCGAGTATTTCTCATCCAAGCATCACTCGATTCCATGACTTTTGGATCTAGATCAGATGAACCAAAAAATTATCCAAGCAATATAAAAATATTAAACAAGCAAAACAAAAAAATAGCTAGATTATTTCTATAAAAAGCAAATTAAAAAATTCAAAGAAGAACCAAATAAAACATATAAAAATAAAAAAAGCAAAAAAAAAAATGATCAGATAACTCTTCAAATAATTTTGACTATTCTTATTTACGAATAAATTAATTTACATTAATTAAACACATAACTTACACTTAAACAGAAATAGTAAAATATGGTCTATTGAGATGTAATCTATCAGTACTCCATACTAAAGAAATAAATATAAGCACATGAGTAAGGGCTAGTTGATGTGACTCTTCAAGTAGGTACTTCCTCCGTCCCATAAAGGATGTAAATATCTTTTTTAGGCAAGATTAGTGTAGTGTAAAATTACACATTTATTCCTCCTCTATCATTTTAGAAACGGTGGTCTTCTTGAATGTTCTTTTCATAGATGGTATGAGTAGTTTTTAGTTATGTGGGGATATTTTTAATTGATAGGTCCAATTAAAAAAGATGATCTCTAACTATACAATTATATTTTTTTAGACCAGATTTGAAAGGCAGGATTCCATGCGTGCGCGTGCATGCACCGGTGCACGAGGTCCGGCTGAAGCTTGCACGCTAGGCGACCAGCTTTGAGCGGAAAAGGAGAAAAGAACGGACGGAGGACGTCTCCGTGTAGGTATGTGGACCCAAAGGTCCGTGAGGGCCCAGCTAGTGAAGGGAGGGCACCGGTGATCTCCACGTGTGCGGAGACACAGGCAAGCTCCAGCCCTCGGCATGGGCTCTGCACGGTCCCCACACCCGTTCTCTCCCATGCAGTGGAGGCATGGACTGGTCAGAGCCAAAACCAAGCCCTCCTAGGGGGGGAAAAAACACCATCTTTTAAAATGCTAAGAGTTTGCGCTAAAAAATGGCATGTAGGTAACTAATTACTTTTGACTCTAATAATCCGATACTGGAACAAAGTTTTTTTTAGCCCGAACAATCAACACGGTCTTTTGTTTCACGCTTTTTTTCTGGATGACAGCGGGCTAGAAGCAGAAACAAACAGCCCAAATATCTAGCTCGCTATTGAAAAACTAGAAAGTTAGCTTATGAGGGAATAAACTAAAACCTAAAAAGCATGTTGAGAAATGCTTTTCTAGCTTTTGGTGTGCGAGACAGAAATAAGTTTTCCTAGCTTTAGGTGTGTAGAAAACTAAAAATTTATTGAAAAACCAATAACAAAAACTAACAACCAGAACGCGAAAACCAGAAAGCCAGCTTTTGAGCCAAAATCTCAAAAAGCTACAGCTCAAATAAATAGGCCTTAAGCTACGTACTCTTAGGCTAGTATCAGTGGACATTTGGGTTTCATTTGTATAATACAAATTAAATATGCATAATACATAAAACACTAAAATGAAGCTATACATTAAAGACAATTGAGACATCTCAACCTACACGATATCAAGCAACACAACATCTTACCTCACAAGTAATATAATTTTGAATGCCAAATATTACAATAATTTACAAACTAGAGTCATTGGTTTTCGATGCCGACAATATTGCCTACTTAACTTGGCGTGTCAAGATCAACAAGCCACACGCGTTTTGAACACTTTTCAAAATCTCTCAAGGGCAAGCGCCTACGCGCCGTGGTTTGGAAGCCAAAAATGGATCCGGGACATAATAAAGTGAATTAGATAATCAAACCGAAAAATCCTAAATTAACACATCAAACATTTTTTTTGGTAAGGATCTTTCGGAATATTATAGAACATATGAATAATACAATATTAGCACAATTCCATGGGGAGCCCAATTCAAGCACTCAAATTCAGGGCACATCACCCTATACAAATTCGTTTTGAGATATCGTTTAACAAGGCTCTTTCAAAGCATCAACAACGTGACGACTATTTGGCCATGCCATCAAGACCTTTTGCTATAAAATATTTATAAAATATAGTCAATATATACTTTTATGAAACTACATTTTGAGATGAATCTACTTACATCACTTTTAATATATTTTCAAACTCAATTTACAAAAAGTCATTGGTTTTATTTGTATTGTACTTAAGTTTAAAATGCCACACGTGACTTAAGACAAGCGCCCCAAAAACGACGGGACACAATAAAGTGAAGTGTAAAATATCCATGCAACACACAACCGTAGGAGTAAGCAACATTGGTACTCGTGACACATCACCCAACCCAACTGTGAACATCTCATGAACTAGGGGACCCACAGTTGGACAAACAAAACATTGGACCCACAAGGTGACACGTCCAGCTTCTATACAGGACCAACACACTTCACAGTTAAAACAAGGCGTGAAGGAAAGAACAAATTTTGTTCTGTTTAAATGGCGAGAGGGAGGGCATTTCCAGAGAGGTGCTGTGCTATTCATTTGCGCCTTGTAAATTAATTCTAGTTCAGACTTCAGAGAGAGAATGAGAAGCAAGTGAGGTGCGTTGCTGGGAAGTGGTTCTTGTGAGGTTTAGGAGTTATATTTTCCTTTCTAGAAATGGAGATGGCCCTACGGTCGCAGAGCCCTCTCTGCCTTCGGAGCCGACCGGTGCTCGTTGTCCGGCCAACCGTCGCGGGCGGAGGGGCCACTCAGGTATGCGCGGCGCTTAATCCCAAGTTCTTGATTCTACCATAGATTGGTTCGATCTCTGTGATGTCATTTATCGAGGACCGCGTTACTATTCGGCTTGATCCTCGATCTGTGATGAGTTGCCTTCCTGGCTGGTTTCGACAATCTTCCGTTTTGGGGATCAAGGCGGATTCGGCGTGATGGGGGTGTTTGATGACCGTCTCCATTCGATGAATTTCGCTCCTTTTGCCCACCCTAAATGGAAGCTGTCTATAGGCGACGTGATTTACATGTATATTTTCCTGAAAGCCTTTTCCTTTGTTCTGAATTTCTTGGAAGTGTGTTATAAACGGATTTTTTTTTGTGTGCTTCCTCCTTCATTTGTTCTGGCCTGTATGATCAAGGAAATGTCTCTTCCTTTGGACATCTAGGATGGCGACGATAGTTTGATTCACGAAAGACTGCTCCATTGGAGGATGCATAAACTGCGAAGTGAAAATTTAGGAAGTTTCGGTGCTCTAGCCTTTTGTTGATTGTAAACATGTGCAGCGGCACAAATAATCAGATAGTGATTTGGGGGAAATTCGTATGTAGTATTCATCACCATAGGCAATCCAGTACTGAACTTTTGAGATTAATCATATAGTGATTTGGGGGAAATTCGTATGTAGTATATTCATTCATCACCATAAGCTGCAGAACTTATCTTTTTCCGTTCTATTGGTATTTTCAGTCTTTGTTGAGGACTACCAGATCTGTGAGAAGAAGGATCATTCAATGCATTGTAGCAAGTCCAGGTCTGTGGAACAGTTCTGTTGAATGCTTATTTGGTCTGCTTGCTGTTCTACTGATCTCATGCTTTCTAATGTTGCAATATGCAGGTTGTCCTAATAGGAAATCAAGGATGTCTCCTAACGTAAAAGTAGCTGCTTTTAGCAATTATGCTCCAAGACTCCTTGTTGAGTCAAGCTCCAAGAAGAGTGAACACCATGATGGCAGACACCATGAAGAAACTATTGATACATACAATGGGCTGTCAGGTTCTGATGCAGCAGAGTTGACAAGTAATAGAGATGCAGAAATTGCAGTGGATTTGCAGCACATGTATGAGGAGGAATTGCCAGGAAATGTATTGATTAATGCATCATTAGGGGAAATGGAAACAGTGGATGAAGCTGAGGTTGAGGAGGATAAGTTTGAGGTAGATTTCTCAGGAATTGTATTGCGCAATGCTGAAGTTTGGGAAATGGATCCAGAGGATGAACATAAGGCTAAACAAGACGTATTTGTGGTAGATTCGTCAGGAACTGCACCAGATAATGCTGCAGTGGAAGAAGTGGTAGATGAAGTTGAGGTTGAAGAGGATATGGTTGATGTGGATATCTTGGGACTTGCCTTGAATAGTGTAACAATGGAGGAAATGGATTTGATAGATGAAGAAGAGGCTTTACAGGAGAATTTTGATGTGGATTCACCAGGCAATGCTTCAAGTGGTGGAACGTATGGGGGTGCGGATGAGTTGGGTGAACAGCCTTCAACATCCATGGATGGCATCGCCCTTAATGAAACACGTAGAAATTTGAAGCCTGAGCCCTTGCCAATTGTCAGGTACCAGGAACAAGAAAAAATAGTTTTAAGCATTGTTGAGGAAGAAGGGTTAATTGTTGGTTCATGTGAAGAAGGCCAACCGGTGGTAGATTACCATAAGCAAGAGGAAAACTCTACCGCTTTTGATGAACAGAAGCAATTGACTGACGGATTCCCTGAACAAGGTATATATATTGTTCAGTTCCCTGAGCGAAACAATGATATTGTTGGTTCCCCAAAATTCTTGGAGCAAAAACAAGAACTTGTTGGTTCCTATAAACAAGATCGATCAATCATTGGATTGCATGAACAAGACCAGTCCATTGTTGGTTCACATGGACAAGATAAATCAATTGTTGGTGTGCCTCAGCAAATCCAGTGCACTGATCAATCTATTACTGGTTCTCATAGACAAGATGAATCAATTGTCGGTGCACCTGAGCAAATCCAATCCGTTGCTGGCTATATAAAACCAAATCAATCTATTGTTGGTTCTTATAGACAACATGAATCAATTATTGTTGCGCCTGAGAAAGTCCAATCCATCATCAGTTACAGTGAGATAGATCAATCTATTGTTGGTTCTCACAAACAAGGCAGATCTGTTGTTAGTGTGCCTGAGCAAACCCAATCCATTGTTAGTTACAGCAAACCAAATCAATCTACTGTTGATTCTTATAGACAAGCTGAATCAATTATTGGTGTGCCTGAAAAAGTCCAATCCATCATCAGTTACGATAAACTAGATCAGTCTATCGTTGGTTCTCTTAAACAAGATGAGTCTATTGTTAGTGTGCCTGAGAAAATCCAATCCATTGTCGGTTACACTAAACCAAATCAGTCTATTGTTGGCTTGCCCAAACAGCAACAATCAATTGTTCATATCGATGAACGAAAACAATCCATAGTTGGTTTCCCTAAACAAGATCTATCAATCGTTGGTATCTCTAAGGAGTCTCAAACAAACCAACTGGCTACTGTTGGGATTCATGATGGATTGCTTATGAAAGGAGTGGAAGCTAAGGAGACATCTCAAAAGACTGAAGGGGATACACTTCAGGCAAAGTTCGATGCTGACAACTTGTCACAGAAACATAAGGAAGGCTTCACTAAAGAAGCAGATGAGAGAACAATTTTTGAGAAAATTAATGATGAAGATCTTGTGATGATTGAAGAGCAGAAAAGCACATGCATGGATGAAGAACAGATGATTGTTACTGAGGAAGACATTCCAATGGCTAAGGTTGAGATAGGGATTGACAAGGCCAAAATTTTACATCTGCTTTCTGAAGAAGAGAGTTCATGGGATGAAAATGAAGTGGGGATAATTGAGGATGAAGAACAGTATGAAGTCGATGAGACATCTATGTTCACTGAACAAGATATCCAGGAGTCACCTGACGATAATGTGGATCCACAAGCACTACAGAGGATGCTTCAAGAGCTTGCTGAAAAAAATTGTTCGCTGGGAAACAAGTTGTTTACTTATCCAGAGGTATTGAAAGCTGATTCAACAATTGATCTCTATTTCAATCGTGATCTATCAGCGGTGGCCAATGAGCCTGACGTACTCATCAAAGGAGCATTCAATGGGTGGAAGTGGAGTTTTTTCACTGAAAAATTGCACAAGAGCGAGCTGGGAGGGGGCTGGTGGTGCTGCAAACTATACATTCCCAAGCAGGCATACAGAATGGACTTTGTGTTCTTTAACGGACGCATGTTATATGAAAATAATGACAATAATGATTTTGTGATACAAATACAAAGCACCATGGATGAAAATTTATTTGAGGATTTCTTGGCTGAAGAAAAGCAGCGAGAACTTGAGAAACTTGCGAATGAGGAAGCTGAAAGGAGGAGACAGACTGACAAGCAGCGGCGAAAGGAGGAAGAAAGGGCCGCAGATAAAGCTGACAGGGCACAAGCCAAGGTTGAGGTAGAAACGAAGAAGAATAAATTGCAAAATGTATTGGGTTTAGCCAGAGCTTCTGTTGATAATTTGTGGTACATTGAGCCCATCGTGACTGGACAAGGGACTACTGTCAGATTGTATTATAATATAAACTCAAGACCTCTAGTTCACAGTACTGAGATATGGATGCATGGTGGCTATAACAACTGGATTGATGGACTTTCTTTTGCTGAAAGACTTGTTCATCATAATGACAAAGATTGTGATTGGTGGTTTGTAGATGGTATGTCATCTAACACTTTTCTGCAAATTGTATCTCATAACATCTTAACAAACTCTACTGTTAGCATGGTACTCCTTAAATATAGCATAGCAATCTGCATTTTGATAGTCCAATGAAGAGAAAAAAGGACTACTAACTGATGTTGGTTTCTTAAAGTAGACATATTATGACATGGATGGCCTATCTTGGAGTCTTTTAAGTTTGTTATTTACTCCATAACTACAAAGATAACACCTGGCCTTTTATGTATAGTTGTCTTACCTGAAAGGACATATGTGTTGGACTGGGTTTTCGCTGATGGGCCGCCAGGGAATGCAAGGAATTATGACAACAATGGAGGACATGATTTTCATGCTACCCTTCCGAATAACTTGACTGAGGAAGAATATTGGATGGAAGAAGAACAAAGGATCTACACAAGGCTTCAACAAGAGAGGAGGGAAAGGGAGGAGGCTATTAAAAGGAAGGTCAGTTGCAATAGGCCTGTTGCGGTTCTGGTGTTTTTGTTCGAACCTTTAGCTTGACCAATTGTAAATCTAGAATGAAGTTACAACATCATAAATGATCGAACTTGCCCATAAGCAGTCATTTTGAGTAGTTAAAAAGATTCATCTCTGCTTGATTTTTTCACCGTTAAACATGTGATTTTAAAAAGTTTGTCCATATTAACTAGTCTGTTAAGACAACAGAGCTAAACTGACCATTTGAATCATTCATCACTTCAGCCTTGCAAGTTAATTGCCAACTAGTTTAATCACTAACTTTTGTTGGCCCAACTAAGTAACAGCATACCTTCAGAGTATCATTTGTCCTGCTTTATGTTACAAAAAAATGGAGCACTTCTTTCTATACGATATACCAAATTCTCGAAATTTTATTGACAGATATGGTGGGGATTCTTTTAGTTGACTTTTGCTTCCTTTTGATTGAACAGGCTGAGAGAAATGCAAAAATGAAAGCTGAGATGAAGGAAAAGACTATGAGAATGTTCCTGGTTTCTCAGAAACACATTGTTTACACAGAACCACTTGAAATACGTGCTGGAACTACTGTTGATGTGCTTTATAATCCTTCTAATACAGTGCTAACTGGAAAGACAGAGGTTTGGTTTCGATGTTCCTTTAACCGCTGGATGTATCCAGGTGGGGTGTTGCCACCTCAGAAGATGGTACAAGCAGAAAATGGTTCACACTTAAAAACAACAGGTTCGAAATTCCTATGTTATTGTTCTTAGTATTAATACCTTTTCCAGTGGTTCATTTTTATGCAATTAATATAGTCAAGAGCTGCTAGAGCACTGGTCATCAAGTAGCTCAAGAACTTATAATTGTATTGTAGTGTGATGTCTAATCCATATATAGACATGATATAATCTTTACTCACGAAACTGAAAACAAAAAAAATGGCACAACTAAATTATTTTAGAGGATCTAGCTAATTTAATGTCATAAGAGAGATGCTATAAGTTTCTTATTGAAGTTTTTATAAAGGTTGTAATTGAGAGAATGTAGCTACTACAAAGCATTGAAGGTATAGCCCTATTTTGCTTTAGAATCTTATTGTTGCAGCCAGAAAGAGTTTAAACTGCTGCATTTCCCTAGGATAGTTAGTCAAACCTTGATAAAATGTGTCACCTTTTCATCCATATTAGATCAAATTCATGTTGAATCCTGTCTGTTTTTTTATATACTATTTTTGGAACATTGTTTTTTATATTCATGCAGTGAGATATTCCTTCTCCGTGAGTTCCCTTGTAATAATTAGATTTAGCACAGAGATGCATAAAAACATTTCTATTCCCTTTATTTGTTCTTAGTTCTCAAGTAGAGTGCTCCTTCTCCAGTTTACGTTCCGCAAGATGCCTATATGATGGACTTTGTTTTCTCGGAGTCAGAAGAAGGTGGAATTTATGATAACATGAATGGGTTAGACTATCATATTCCTGTGTTTGGTTCAATTGCAAAAGAACCACCTATGCACATTGTTCACATTGCTGTTGAGATGGCACCAATCGCAAAGGTTATTCATATTTCTGAGTTAAATTCATACTATTAGCTCAAGAGTTACAACTTACATCACTGTTTCTCTTTTATTGTTGCATAACACTAATAGTATTCTGTCTGACCAATGCTATCACAGGTTGGAGGTCTTGGTGATGTTGTTACTAGTCTTTCACGTGCTGTGCAAGATTTAGGACACAATGTGGAGGTTATTCTTCCAAAGCACGATTGCTTGAATCTAAGCAATGTAAGTTAAAAGTGCCCTACAACATCCCTTGCTGCTTCTCTGCTGTGACAAGTGAAGTGCTTTGTAGCAAGAACTGAAGTTGACATCTCCACGTTAGGAGCAACTTGGTTTACTATTCTACTCTATTATGTATGTGCTTCCTCATAGTTCAGTCACTTATTCCTCATGTAGATGGATAGCTTATGTTAAGTATGAGGAATGCCTTGGAATTGTTGATTTGTAGCTTAGTACATCAAGTAGAATTACTTGGTTTTTATTCTTTTTGGACCATTGAGTTATATGGAATGATTGAGGCAAACATAACTTACTGAGTAATCTGATAAGAAAGACATCAGAAGACAGATATTGGGTATATGATAAATTTTACCTCTCTTATCAATTAATATGCGTCTGTTACAATGCAGGTCAAGAATTTACACATCCATCAAAGTTTTTCTTGGGGTGGTTCTGAAATAAAAGTGTGGCGTGGACTAGTCGAAGGCCTTTGTGTTTACTTCTTGGAACCTCAAAATGGGTATGTATCAGCATATTGTTTACAGATATAAAAGCCTTAGTATCACTATTTCTCTAAGCTCGAAGTCCTAGAACCTTGTACTGGTTTGTAAGTGGCAATATAGAATTGTTAAACTGCTTTGAGTACTGTGAATTTAAGTATCACTATTCCAAGCCTATGTTTAGTTTTTCTAAATATAAAAGCCTTAGTATCACTATTCCAAGCCTATTTTTAGTTTTTTCTAGAATATAAGTACTCTGAATTTCGTCATATGTGTATATCAGTTTAATGATCTATCTGTCACATTTGGTACATATCTGCTGGGACTTTCTTGCAAGAGGTTTCAAAAGATAATTTGGCACTTACCTTTTCAGGATGTTTGGAGTCGGATGTGTATATGGAAGGAACGATGACCGCCGATTTGGCTTCTTCTGTCATTCTGCTCTAGAGTTTCTCCTCCAGAGTAGATCTTCTCCGGTAAGTACTAGTATTCACAACAGCAGCTGTTATATTGTTTTAACTGTTACTCTCTGCCATTCCAATTTGTAAGTCGTTTTGGCTCTTCTAAATGCATAGCTTTGAAGGGCGGGTCTGGTGCAAGCGGCAGAGTCTTACCGCCTGTGACCGGAAGGTCCCGGGTTCGAGTCGCGGTCTCCTCGCATTGCACAAGCGAGGGTAAGGCTTGCCACTGACACCCTTCCCCAGACCCCGCACAGAGCGGAGCTCTCTGCACTGGGTACACCTTTTTTTTAAATGCATAGCTTTCATATCTAGACGTGCTGTATATCTTTTTTTTAGGAAATCAGGAGGGTCAAGCCCCTACTGGATAATATATTAAATAGAAAAATATTAAAACAGTTTAAGTTTACAGTGTAGAACTTCAAGAAACAAAAAAGATTAACCAAACTAGAAAGATTAAACTAGTTTGTCTTGCCATTGGTCGATGAAAGGTGAGTAGCTTCTTTTTGCGCATACAAGCACATAATGTATATCTAAGTGTGTAACAAAAGCTATGTACCTAGAAAAGCAGAACGATTTACAATTTAGAATGGAGAGAGTACCTTATTTACTAGTGGCTTTGCTGTTCGACCCTTTTTGATATTTAGCATACCTATAGATCATCGTTCAAATACTCACACACAACACGCGCGCACACACGTGCACACACAGAGCCAAACGGCACTTAGCAAAATGAGCTCGTCACTTAATAAACAAGAGAGAATTGGCAAGAGATACAAGCTCTACTAAGGATCTTTCCCAACTATTTAGCACGTTCTGCGATAAAAAAATTTACATTAGTCATTCTATTTTCCATTCCTTCACTATTTTAGTTATCTTTATTATTAGCCTTCCATTTTAAAAATATTTTAATGTATTCTGATTTGCAGCGAAGTTGCCTTATTTGCTTATTTCTGTTAGCTTCTCATTGAAACCGCTGACATCTTATCCTCCTTACAGAATATAATACATTGCCATGATTGGTCAAGTTCTCCTGTTGCCTGGCTATACAAGGAAAACTATGCACAGTCTAGTTTGGCAAATGCACGGGTGGTATTCACCATCCACAATCTTGAATTTGGAGCGCATTATATTGGCAAAGCAATGAGATATTGTGATAAAGCCACAACTGTGAGTGATAAACTTTGCATAATTCAATATTGTGTTTGACACACTCGCGTCACTGAAATACATATTGTTACACTGTAGAGTCATGTTCTTTTGATGTTTATCTATTCACATATATCCATTCTTTGCAGGTCTCTAATACATATTCAAGGGAGGTGTCAGGTCATAGTGCCATCGTTCCTCATCTTGGAAAATTCTATGGCATTCTCAATGGAATTGATCCAGATATATGGGATCCGTACAGTGACAACTTTATCCCGGTACACTTTATTATTCATATACATTTTTTTATTGTAATATATTTATTCCACGCTACTTGAACTTAGTAAAATGGAACAAAGAGCTGCAATAATAATACATTTTTTTTTTCAAATGACCTAGTTTTGCTTAGATGGGCACTTAAGACCTTAAGTCATATATATGCACACTCTCAAGTTTGAACAGTCATTTCAAGTAATGTGCGTGCATGTGATGGTTTTCTTAATCTGCATCTCTTTAATTTGTTGCTTTGGCGCTGTTAATGTTGTCCAAAAATGCTACTTATACATGGTGGGTGTGGCAAATAATTTCCTGTTTAAATGTTCGTTCCAATGAATTTCAGGTCCACTACACTTCTGAGAATGTCATTGAAGGCAAGAGGGCTGCTAAGAAGGCATTGCAGCAGAAGTTTGGGTTACAGCAAATCGATGTGCCCATCGTAGGAATCGTCACTCGCCTGACAGCCCAAAAGGGAATCCACCTCATCAAGCATGCGATTCATCGAACACTTGAACGGAATGGACAGGTCCTTCGATCCCTTGCATGGCCGATAAAACTTCAAACATTCTTTCTTTCCTTAATTTTGTGGCTTCCTGTCATCTTGAAACTAATAAGAATGATATATGTTTGGTTTCCAGGTGGTTTTGCTTGGTTCGGCGCCAGACCCTAGAATCCAAGCTGATTTTGTCAACTTGGCGAATACGCTCCACGGCGTAAACCATGGGCAAGTGAGGCTGTCCTTGACCTACGATGAGCCTCTTTCGCATCTGGTGAGCTTGACAAAGCACCTAATCAACCCCCTCAATCTTTCATTGAAGTATCTCTGAAACCGGCTAATATAGTTCTTTCCATGGTCCTCTTCTGTTGCAGATATACGCTGGCTCTGACTTCATTCTGGTACCATCTATATTTGAGCCTTGCGGCTTAACTCAGCTCGTCGCCATGCGGTATGGAACCATCCCTGTTGTCCGCAAAACAGGAGGTACGTATACGCGCAGCAGCTGTTGAGTGTCAACCATTCTCCATTTGCCGTCAAACTGTACTCCTCTGCAATCTGCATATAGAGTGGGTTGAAGTGAACACAACACAAGATCTGATCTCTCGTGCTGCTCATCAGGGCTCTTTGACACTGTCTTCGATGTGGACAACGACAAGGAACGAGCCCGAGCTCGAGGCCTTGAGCCCAACGGGTTTAGCTTCGACGGAGCTGATAGTAACGGTGTTGACTATGCCCTCAACAGGTAAGCACAGTCTCACAGAGCCGCCCGGTTCACTGAACCCTGCAATTCTTGCTCATCGTGCCGTTGGCATGCATGTTCCATTTTCAGGGCGATCTCTGCTTGGTTCGACGCCCGGAGCTGGTTCCACTCCCTTTGCAAGAGAGTCATGGAGCAGGACTGGTCATGGAACCGGCCTGCCCTGGACTACATCGAACTCTACCGTTCAGCGTCCAAATTGTGACTGTCCAACCAACGGCGAATATAATGTGTTGTCAGATCTCCCATGCAGTCATTCAGGTTTTGCAGGTTCCTGGGCATTGCTGTACAGCCTCCTTGTCTTCAGTTAGCTCCATTCTCCGAAGAGCATAGTGAAAAGCGCTAGAGTCCACTAATGTGACTGGGTTTCCTAGGTGGAATTTTTGAACCTCAGTTATGCATAGATTGTTTCAGAAGAATGGTTTCTTCGGGCATGTATGTTTGTTTCTTCTGTTGTTGAATTCGGGTCTTAAGTCTTATATAGAAATCTACAGGAAATGAAAGGTCCATTTCCCGCGTCAATCCTTTAGACCTACCATGCACAGAACCAAAGGAATGCAAGTAAATGCGGAAGTTTAAATGTCAGTTAGAGAATCCAAACTCTCGATGGCAGTATTTCCTGAGCATCAAGAAGCTCACGTTTTTTCCTAATCCTCGTTGGAGTCCCTCGCAACGATGCCGTAGCAAGGGTCAAGCTCCTAGTTGGATAACTCCGTTGATAGCCCACGGAACTTCCTCTCACGTGCCTGGGTCTCCTAGTTGGGTAACTCCGTAGATAGCCCACGGAACTTCCCCTCACGTGCCTGGGTCTCTCTGTGGCCTCTCTCGGACCGTTTCCCCAAAGATCGAGCATTCCCATCATCTCCTCCCAGCTACATAACGTAGCCATACCATAAATATAGTTGGCATGATCTCGCAACATTACAAGCCCTTTGGGTACAACAATGGTGCGCGGCGCGCGAGTACCGGGTAGCAAGAGATATGTAAACCTCACTAAATGCTAGGTCTAAACTTAATTAGATCAAATGCTAACAAAGCGGCCTCTACTAGCCAAACACTTTTCGAAGTACTAACACTAAGGCTCCGTTCGCTGGTCTGAAACTTGGCTGAAACTGGCTGAAAACACTGTTCCGGCTGAATTGTTGTGAGAGAAAAACACTGTTCCAGCTGAAAAAAAAAGCCGAACAAGCTATTTTTAAGACAAGCGAACAAGGCCTAATTGTCTAATCTTCCTTAAGCACTTTTGGTGGGTAGCACTCGCTCTAACCCTCTCAAATGGACCGACTATGTATATATATATATATATATATATATATATATATATATATATATATATATATATATATATATATATATATATATATATATATATATATATATATATATATATATATATATATAGCCGCTGGAATCAAACTGCAATTCTGTAGTGACTACCGAAGAGCTCCGGTGACCTCTGGCTTGCGCTAGTAATGATTTGAATTTCCCCACAATAATGTATGTCTGGCGGCGCGATCGAGCATAGCTTGTCGTCTGACCAGCAGCCGGCAGGGATCCTCAAAGCTAACCTTCATTATCTGACATGGAGGCCACTTGTACCATTATACAGACAATGGAATTTAATACCAAGTTAAGAAAGTTTGGTTTATCCTAATTCCTAAGAAATGGCTAAACCCACAGTTACATTCATTTTTAATTTGTACCGCGGATCGAGAGCTAGCTAGGAGTATTTTTTGGGGTTCGAAGAAATGGCCACGAGCTTTTGGTGTTGGTATCGGTTCCTTGGATTCCTAGAGGTGCGTTGGGCGCCGTACGTGGAACGACACGACAGATATGTTTGCTAGGCACAGCAGGTTGATGTGGGTCAACAATGCATTCAAGAAGCGTGGTGGGGCAAATGCTGGCCGGGTCGGGGAGGCACGCGCGCGACAGCCCGATCTGTGGCACGAAAAATGCATACTCCAGTACTGCTCCTACGAGCTCACGGGCGAGTAGCTAGGTACACCTAGCTGCACGCACAAGGCCGGAGAAAACAAACTGGGAGCTTTGTGTGGCCAGTTGAACGCATGCCATGCATGCATGCGTTGCAGACCGTACGTACGTTTTGCCGCACGCACATCGAGAACCGACAGCGCACATCGGGCAGGCCATCACTACCTAAAACAAAACAGTGAGTTTGCCCTATTCCACGTGCACTCGGCAAAGACCAAAAAATACATGGCAAAAGATTTACCGAGTGTAACACTCGGCAAACAGCCTACGTCATCTATAGTATCGGTAAACGTCTCTTTGCCGAGTGTTTTCTATCAGACACTCGGCAAACACTTTGCCGAGAGCTGAAGCGGACGCTCGACGAAAAAAGTAACGCGACGGCGCGGAGACGATCACAACGCCTTTGCCGAGTGTCACTCGGCGAACCTGCATCCTTTGCCGAGTGTCAACTCCCAGACACTCGGCAAAGCTTTCTCATTTTGCCGTGTGTCACATTCCTAGCACTCGGCAAAGCTGCCTCCTTTGCCGAGTGTCAACTCCCGGACACTCGGCAAATCTTCCTCCTTTCGCCGTGTGTCAAACTACCTGCACTCAGCAAAGTTTCCTTCTTTATCGAGTGTCAGGCTCCTCCAGAACATACTAATGTTGGCTTCTTTGCCGAGTGTCATAGCGCAAACACTCGACAAAGAAGCCATTTTAGTCCCAGAATGCACAGAATTTTGCCACGTGTACACTTTGCCGAGTGTTTTAACCCTAGAACTCGACAAAAGGCCTCTTAGCTGTCACAAATAATCAGTTTATTAGGTTCGGTCGTAGCCACGTACCACATTCAAATAAACATCACATCCATCAAAGATAGTTCACAATAGGCATCACAGGCAATTCATATAGATATATCGACAACACATAAATACAAATAAACTTCAGAATCACAAGTATGTTCATTCACAACCACAAGTAGTCACAGGTAATCCACAAATGCAAATACAAATAAAATCATAAGTAGTCACTTAGGCCATGAGTTCCACTGCGACAGGGCTAGGTCATGAGGCTCATTCGATGCCGCCGATTGATGCTGCACAAAGGAGAAGTGATTGCATGTGAGACAAGATTAAATAACACGTATGGTCTCTCTGTTGCCTAACTAGTATAACCCTTACAATAATCAGTAATATCTTCTCAGTTGCATTGTGCTCTAGTATGATTGCTTAAGTACTAGTTGGTAATAAACATATAGCATTAGTCACTAAGTTTCTAGTGTCTTGTCATTTTTGTAAGATTGATTCTACATAAACTAGATTATAAGGTTGTAAAGCAACTCATAGTGTCTGAAATAGTATTTGGAGCAAATTAAGGAGGGACTGGAAATGGTGGTGGAGGTTGACCGATTGCAGCATAAACACCCCTCATATATTCAAACATCTGCAACTCCATCCTCTACCGCTCTGCCTCCATCCTCTGCTACTCTGCCTCCATCCTCTGCTGCTCTGCCTCCATCCTCTGCCGCTCTGCCTCCATCTTCGCCTCTAGCTCCTCCTGGCGCCTCATTTCTTGTTCTAGCTGAGCCTATAATATTTTATCCCAATGTTACAATGCAATGCAAAAGTAAGTAAAATCAATGAACTATGAATAAAACAGAAATAACCTGGAGTGCGTTCATCTGGAACCATGTAGAGTCCGGTCGTGGGCGTATCGCCGGACTGGAACCCGTGCTCCGTGCTCGAATCTGGGAGAGAGTGGGAGTACTGGCCGTGTCAATGGTGTCGTTGCCAATCCAGAACCGGCCATGCTTCTTGCCTCCTCCCGCCCTCATGACCACTTCTCCATCAAGATCATGGGCGCTCGGATCATACTCTGGGCCATGGACCTGCCTTGCCATCGATGTGTATCCATCGAGACAGCTGTGGACGAACTCGTTGCTGTACGTCGAGGGCGGGTCCTCTAGGTTGTAGGCGATGTCAGACGTCGCCTTCCCCTTGTGGGCCAAAGCATATGCCACGAACTGGGAGCAAGGCTCGCCACCATGTGACGCCGACTGAAAAAAGCAATATGATTAGAAATTATGCAGAGTTGAGCGTTAGAATAAAGAAATAAATCCGCGTACCCATCTAGCCGCGTATTCTGAGAGGTTGAGGTTGCCTTGATGGTGTGGTGCACCCGGCATCAGCAAACGCTGCTCCTAGCAAGCGTTATGATTCTCCTCCCACGCAAACCACCTGTCCACCATCCGGGCTCAGCACTGCAGATTGTAGGCGCACCACCACATCAAGTATATCACATATAAGAAGATGAAATTAAGCGTAATTAATCTCAGAAAAAATAAGTATTAATGTTCTATATTTACCTTTAGGTATTGTTTTGAGGTCAGGCTCATGGTTCTTGTCGCCCTTTTAGGGATCCTCTCTCTAAGAAATTCCACGTGGTATTGGATCACAGCCTGGATGTGCGCCTTGTAGTGCATGTCCTTGACGAGTTTCTTGGCGACTTTGTCAGCCATAGCATCCGCCTTGGCCTCGTATCCCTCCTCGCATCTAAAGAAATCCTGCATATAGACGTGATGCATCCAGTCATTATTTCAAGAATGTCCAATCAATGCGATGTATTGAGCAATGTGTGCGAGAAAGACTTACCCAAAGCTCAGCCTTGACATGCTGCACCTTATCGGCGAAACACCTGCCATCTCGACTAGTGGTGTTGGGGACGGCGGCATAGTGGGCCCACGTGTAGGCCGGCTCAATAGTTCCACCGAACTGCACCAAGCCAGGGAACTTTTCCTTGATCAAAAGACCAAGGATGACGTTCACATGGCGTGCGTGATCACCCCCACTAACCTTCCTCCAACCCCTGCCCAAGTGATTAAGATAAATTATTAGTTTCTATTATAATTTTGAACATATTAAATGAAAAATTAGTGATAATATATAAAGTTACTTACTTGTCTCTATCGGGTCGAATCAGCGAGCTTCTCTCAAGAGGTATCGGTCACCTCGGGAGGGTCGAGGGACCTCGCAACCACACACGCGATGAAGTAGAGGAAGAGGTACCCCTTGCCTCCTCCTCCACCCCTGCCTCCTCCTCCTCCACCTATACCTCCTCCTCCTCAGAGGATGAGTGAGTGGAAGGTAACTCAGACGGCGATCAAGGTACAGACGACGGTGGCCTCGTCTTGCCTCCACCCTTCCCTCAACCCTTGGGTCTACCCCGAGGTCTCTT